CCCTTTGGTGCTAGGGGCTCATTTAAGAACCACAGAGGACCTGCCTGGATCTGTTTGCACACGCCTTCCCTGGTCTTCTGAGGACAGAATGTCTGGGTACCATGCCCACGGCTGCTGGGACAGGTCCAAGTCCCACCTGGTTACCCTGGAAGAAGACTGTCTGTCAATCATCCTCCAATGCCATGTGGGCCAGCTTTCTTCAAAACCGCCTCCAGAGAGGGCCCTGGAATGGTGCCTCCTTGTTTGTCTGGCTCTCAGGAACTCTGTCCATAAAATTTGAATAGAGTCCAAGGCAGGCGGGCAAAGCTCTTTCTTTCTTCTTACAAGAGGATGATGGCCCCCACCCTCCTGCACATGCGTGTGTATAAGGCATATATATATTCTTTTGAGAGATGCCTGGGCTTGTCTTCCACTTCTTATGGATCTGCATCTCTACCATAGCTGGCTATCATCATGGGGTTAGGCCCATGCCTCAGAGCTTGTCTGTGATCCCAGCATTCCAGAACATGAAAGAAAGCAGGAAGGAAGGAAAAGAGTGAAGAAGGAGTTGGAACACCCAACCGGTTGGTCACATTACCTCAGAAATTTAAGGGACAGAAATATCATCATGGGGGAGAAATCTGGGACTGATCAGGAACCAGTATTTCCACATTTTTTAGTTTGTTTTCGGAAGCTACAGATGGGGACATTAATACCTGTCAGCCTGACTCATAGGGGCTGTTGCAAAGACGGCAGAAGATGGCAGATGAAGCAAGATGAAGCAAGATGCCTTGCAGCTGGGACCTGAGCATCAGTGGTTCTCATTAGGAGAGCTGCATCCCAATCCTGCACTAGTCTGGGAAAGGGAGAGGGGAATCCATGCATTGAGCTCCAAGAGTAAGCTCAAAAGAGGAAGGCAGGGGGCTAGGAAGTGTATCTCAACTATTTTGCTGTTCTTTGAACTGGAGTCGTGGTGGGTGGGCCTCATGGCGGTAGTTCCTGGAGCCAAGAGCCACACTAAATCCCAGGCCTCGTGAGATCCTGCCTCTGCCCTATGTATCAGACACCTGGTTAGGGAAGGTTTGTGTGTGTGTGTGTGTGTGTGTGTGTGTGTGTGTGTCTATATGCAAATGTGTGAGTGTATGTGAGTATATGTGTGTGTGAGTATGAGAGTGTACATGTATATACAAGTGTGAGTGTATGTGAGTATTATATGTTTATGTGTGTGAGTGTGTGTGTCTGTCTCTGTGTGTATACGGAGCACCTGTATGTGCACGCATGTGAGGGTCAGAGGTCAATACTGGATGTCTCCTGCTGTAGCTTCCCACTTAATCTGAAGTTCTCACCAGTTGTCCAGTAAAGCCTTGCTTTTCAGTGCTGGGATTTGGTGTGGGATTTCCCTCTGTGTGCTGTTTTTACCATTAATGAATAAAGAAATGGCTTTGGACCTATAGCAGAGCAGAACTTAGGTAGGCAGGAAAGATGGAACTAAATGCTGGAAGGAAGAAAGGCAGAGTCAGAGAGATGCCATGGAGCTGCTGGAGACAGACGTGCTGAAACTTTGCTGGTAGGCCACAACCTCATGGTGATATACAGATTAATGAAGATAGGTTAAATTAAGATGTTAGAGTTAGCCAATAAGAAGCTAGAGCTAATGGACCAAGCAGTGATTTAAATAATACAGTTCCTGTGTGAACATTTCAGTTCTGGGCAGCCAGAACAAACAAGTAGCCTCCTCCTACCAATTGGCACCATGACCAACTAAATGCATGTAAAACCTGAGAGGGCTTGAAAAGGAATTCTAGACAAAAAAAAAAATTACAGAGTTTAACACAGCTCCTTGCTGTTTGCTGGTGGTTTGCCACAGCTCCTTTAAGAGAGGGTTTCCTGACTCAGCAGCAGCAGTAGAAAAAAATAGCTGCACAGTTTTAAAATGCTGGCTTTCTGGGCTATGCTGCCAGTGTGACCTCTGGCTCTTGCAGGAGACAGAGCATTTGGATGGGGTTTGTGAGCAGACTACTGCAGCTTGCTTAGTGGTGGACATGGACTAGCTGTGTGCCTGAAATTGGGGCAGTTTGCATGACTCTCAGAGGCAAAAGCTGCTTTGCCATGCTGAACTGGGGAGGGGGGAAGCAGGAAGTACCTTATTTATCATAGTAATGGCACAGCTTAAGTTTTAGACTGGGCAGGCAAGCAGGAATTGCCATATTTCCCCTTGCAATGGCTCAGCTTAAGTCTTTAAGAAGTGCTTAGCATTTTAATAGTGCTCCTGGACAGTAAAGAACTACAAATACACAGTAGGACAGATTCAGACATAAAAGACCTCAAAATGGGTCACAGTGTTGGATAAATGTACATAGACTTGGAAGAGAGAAGAAAAAGAGTGTAGAAAGTTGGAAAAGAAGTAAATGATTTTTTTAAAAAAGGGTAAACTCTTTAAAGAGACAGAGTACAGATAGTCATAGATTAAAGGAGTAAAGATAATAAAGTAAATATTAAAAAGTAATAGAGTAAAAACAAGCCACATAAAGATGAAATACGCACAGAGAGTCTGGATTATGTATATTATTGAGTTTTCTTTGAACTTTTTTGACTGTGAAGGAGCTGAGTACAGAGAGACATTTCATTGTATATGCTGCTAAGCTAAACCAGCATGTATACTATAAAGGTGTCTTGACTTCAGAATTTGGGTCTAAGGATATGCTACTTTGGAAAAGAGATTCTTCTCTTGCTTCCACAGGAGATGAGAACCTGTGGAATGCTTCGAGACCAACATGGTTTGATGGAACAAGACCCTCTGAAAGGTGGCTGTGAATACCCCCACAAAGAAAATACTTTGCCCAACTGCTGGCTGAGATGAACCTAGCACACAGGATACACCATGAAAGACCTGATTAACAGCTCCCTCAAACAGCAGGAAGCAGTGTGGGAAAAACTATGCCCATATTTCCAAATATTGTTTATAAATGTTCTTTTACATTTAAAGGGTGATATGCTATAATATTTGCATTGGTATGAATCTTGGTTTATTGATATAAATTTAAGGTAAATTTTGTTATACTGTATATGTATATTTCTGCCCTTGATTAAGATACTGTGTTTGTGTAGTTCATTTAAAAAATGAATGTAGTTCATTTAAAAAATATATGTAATGTATAATTAAGAAACATAGGCTAATAGATAATCATCTACAATAGTCAAGCTTGTAGTCATGTATATTAGATTTTCTAAATGTCTAGAGATATGCTTCAGTTAGATATCAAATCTTTCAGAGACCTTCAGAATATGGCATTTAAAATGTTTAAGAACTTAAGACTTTTCATGACAGTGAGACACGTCTGTTCCTGGTAGCACTAATTACTTCAAGAGGAAGATGGGCATCAAAAAGGCTCCTTATGGAGTTGGTTAGCATTTAGGCAAGAAACTGCTCTTGCCTGGACTGCTTCCTTAACAGGACATGGAGGACCCACAGAGAAATGACTGCTAAACTTGCCTAAAGGTGAGACGATCCTTTGGGGTTCCTGCTACATGAAAGAGTCTGCGAGACATTCTTTCGGATACTGAAGAAAGTGACTGAACTTGTTTTTGAAATTTCCTGCTTCATGGAAAAGTCTGCTGGATACTATGGGTCTGTGGACTGAAGATTGAATGCTCCAATGGTACAGAAAAACTTTGAGTGACTGTTCAAGCAGTGAGATGTCTCTGTCATAATGAAAAGGAAAAAGAAAGGAATACCACCCTTGATGCTGGAATGCAGAAGAAATAAACAATTCAGGAAGAGATAAGAAAAACAGGAAGCCCCTGGACAACCCCCTCCTTGGTATTTAGGTGAAAGGTCAAGAATTTGCCACTCAGCGCGCATTCTTGGCCTTATTTGAATTGACCAATGGAATGAATCCCCGTAACCACGCTTTTCGCTTCTGTACCCGCGCTTTTGCTCTCCTATAAGAACCCCTCACCCCAACCTGGGGGCGCGCAAGTCTTCCGAGAGACCTTGTCGCCCCAGGTACCTGTGTATTCGAATAAACCTCTTGCTGTTTGCATCCATAAGTGTGGTTTCGTCTGATTCGTGGGTTGGGGCCTCTCTCGAAAGGAAGACATCCCTCGGGGGTCTTTCAATATAGAGTTTTGGAAGTTGCTTACAATGTACTTCCTGTTTACTTAGGTAATATTATACCCTTCTGGAGTCTTTGATGAATTTGAAGAATAGATAGGAAGTAGATATAAATATTTTAACTGTAATTCTTACTTGATACCTGTTTTGTTATATGTAATTTTACTATGTTAAAGTTAAAGTCTTCCTTTTTATTTAAACAGAAAAAGAGAAGTGATGTGGGATTTCCCTCTGTGTGCTGTTATTACCATTAATGAATAAAGAAACTGCTTTGGACCTATAGCAGGGCAGAACTTAGGTAGGCAGGGAAGATGGAACTGAAGGCTGGGAGGAAGAAAGGCAGAGTCAGAGAGATGCCGTGGAGCCACTGGAGATAGATGTGCCGAAACTTTGCTGACAGGCCATGACCTCATGGTAACGCACAGATTAGTGGAGATGGGTTAAATTAGGATGTAAGAGTTAGCCAATAAGAAGCTAGAGCTAATGGGCCTAGCAGTGATTTAAATAATACAGTTTCTGTATGATTTTTTTCAGTTCTGGGCAGACAGAATGAACAAGCGGCCTCCTTCGGGGATTGCATATGCATGCTGCTATGGTCAGCTTTTACATGAATGTTAGGGATCCAAACTCTGACCCTCATTCTGACTCAGCTACTTTAATCATGGAGCCAATTCTCTATGGAGAGAAATTTTCACTGGCAGAGATGGAAAGAAGTTGAGATTATTTTAGAGAATGGGCCTCTTCAGAGAGGGTCAGTGTGGTAGCTTGCCCCTCCACCCCCCGTGGGATCATAAAGAACGGCACTCTTGGAAGGTGTGGCTTTGTTGGAGGAAGTGTGTCACTGTGGGAGTGGGTTTTGTGACCTCATACAAGCTCAAGCCACACCCAGTGTCTCAGTTAACTTTCTCTTGCCTTCAGATCAAGATGTAACTTCTCTACTCTCAGCTCCTTTCTAGCGCACATCTGCCTTCACACCACCACGTCCCACCATGACGGTAACGCACTAAACCTCTGAACTGTAAGCCACCCGATTAAACGTGTTCTTTTCTAAGAGTTGCCATGTTAGTGGTGTCTCTTCACAGGAACAGAATCCTAAACCGGAAGACGGTGAATGTGGAGTGGCAGGAACTTCAGCATGGGCGCTGGAGCAGAAAGCTGGGGAGCACAGCTCACTCACTCATTCATTGGTAGCTCCTTCAGACAGTGAACGCTGATTGGTCAGCTCCAGACTGGTAGGCGGGGCGGAGCTGCTCATAGAATGAGAATGAGGGCAGAAATGGGGTTGCTGAAAAACCAGCTCTAGGACCTGTCTAAGGCATCCACACAAAGCCAGAGGGTTCACTAAAGGAAAGGGCAAGCTAGCATTTGGTTTCTAAAGCCTGCTCTGCTGTGATAGAGAAGATAAGCAGGACTTTTTAGCAGGGAGCGCGAAGCCTCAGAGAGCACAGGGGCAACTGGGCTGAGAGGGGGCTAATGCCGTGGATAGCTGGGTCCCTTGGTGAATTCGTACCTGGATGAGCTCTTCAGTTGTGGAGCGGTAAGAGGAAGAGCAGATTGCTGGGTGTGTGTCCCGAGGCACTTCCTTTTCCCTCTCTCTGTTTCCTGGTTGCCTCAGGGTCAGCAGCTTTGGTGACCCGAGTCCTCCTTTTTCTCACCACAGGCCTGTAGCAATGGCACCAGCGGACCCTGCACAGAAGCCTCTGAAAGCAGATGAGCCTCTGAGTCCAAATAAACCGTCCTCCTTCCATAGTGCTGCTTGGGATAATTTGCTGCATCCACAGGACTGACTGACATCACACACAAGACTCTTATCTAGAGCTAGAACGAGGATGGCCAACCAGGTGAACAACAGGAAAGCATGCTCCCGCGCCAACGGTTAGCCAAGCTTTCCTACCTCCCTTTTTAATCTTTTCCTCCCTTTTTTCTCCCCTTTTTTTTTAATTGCCCTTCCTAGACCCTCCTATTTCCCCTCTGCCTTCTTAAGGTCAGTCTTCCTCGTCTGCCATTGAGGCTGGGGGAGGGGCAAGCAGGGATCTTCAGAAAGCAAGACTTTACTCTTCCAGATTATTCATGTTCCTGTTTACAAGGACAGAGTCTGGGGAAAGCAGGATTCCACTTTGTGCGAGCCCAGAGACACGCAGGGAGACTGAGAAGCCATGCTCGGGAGAGAGTAGTTGTTAGTGCCCAGGTGTGCTCCTGCAAACTGTTTGGTGCCTGCGCTGGGAATGTTGTGTTTACTGACTGAACCTCTAGAGAATGCTGAAATTTCAGAAGGTTGTTGGTTCGTTCCTCTTGCCTCTTGGCCGGACTGTATCTTACCCACTCCTGGGGGTTAGGTGGACTCTAACAGATTCTAGAAATAGCCAGGGAGGAGACGCTGCTGCACAGATTGTCACTGTCGGTACTAGAATGGGCACATGAAGCACTTTCTCTCAGTCTCTGGCAAACAGAGGCTTGTGACTTCAAGAACATCCCACCCTCGCTGAGGGGTCGACACTACACCCACAGTGGATGCTCGAGAGTATAGGAGGTTGGTTCTGAAGCAGAGGTGGGGGCTATTGAATTCCCTCTGGAGAAATGAGCCGGTGGGTAGACCATGAGGTTGGTGACAGAATGCACCCAGGAGGCCTCTGAGGCAAGAGTTGCCTACGTGCGTAGGGTTTAAGACAGAAGAACCCTGCTGCAAAGTCACGTTAAGTTTGTCCCTGCATGGCTTCCATCAGCCAAGAAAGGATCCAGCTTAAAAACAACCAATCAAAAACCTATCCCCTGAGGTGAAACATATCTAATGGCTGTCCATTGTCGCTCCAGCTGGGTCTCCCATGTGCATTGGTAGCTAGGTTTCTCTGTCTAATGAACACATCAAGAGAGAATATTTGTTCTGGCTCACAATTTTACTGTTTCCAATTCAAGATCTAGCAAACTCTGCGCTCTGGGCATTGTGTAGTCATGTCAGAAGGCCACGATAGGAATCGCAGGGCAGAACAGCTGCTCATCTCACAGCCGGGAAGTCAAAAAGGACAAGAGGCCAGGATCCCAGTGTTTCCCTCAGCGTCACAGCCCTATGACCTCACAGGTCTCTCCAAAAGAGTTCACCACGCCCCCTAGTGCCGCCCTGACACCTTGTCCTTTAGAAGGGGCCTTTCTTGTCTTGGTTTGGTTTGGCTTTTTGAGACAGGAGCTTATGGAAGCCAGGCTTCCTTCCCTATGTAGCAGAAGATGGCTTAGATTTCAGGCATCTGCCTCTGCCTAATGAGAACTGAGATAGCAGGTGTGTGTTATCATGTTTAAGCGGTTCTAGGGTGGGACTTTGCCCAGGGTTTAACGTATGACAGATGTCTTAGTTACTGTTCTAGTGCTGTTAATAGACACCATGAGCAAAGCAACTTATTAAAAAACAAACAAACAAACAAACTTTTAGCCGTATAGTGGCGGTATGCACCTTTAAACCCAGCATTCGGGAGGCAGAGGTAGGCGGATCTCTGAGTTTGAGGCCAACCTAGTCTACAAGAGCTAGTTCCAGGACATCTAGGGCTGTTCCACAGAGAAAACTTGTCTCAAAATAAACAAACAGAAAACCTTTTAAATGGGGACTTAACAATTTCAGGTTAGTTCACTATCGTGATGAAGAGTAAGGCAGCAAGAGCTGACAGCCCATATCTGATCTGCCATATGGAGAGGGAGAAACTAGGCCTGGTATGCGCCTTTGGAACCTCAAAGCTCAACCCCAGTGACACACTCACCCCAACAAGGCCACACCTTCTCATCTTTCCCAAACCATCCTCCAACGGGGAACCAAGCATTCAGCTATGATTCTATAGGGACCATTCTCAACCCAGCCACTACAACAGGTAAGCTTTCTGCCAGCTGAACTCTAGCCCCAGACCCCTGGAACAAATCTTTAACACACGGGCTTTGGGGAATGTTTGAATGTTTTGGCCAACATTCAAACTATAACAAGTGGTTTTTCACAGGTTTGATATCTTTGCCCCATCAAAAGCCAAGAGCTGTGAACTGTGAGAGCAGCTGTCAAAGTCCTTGTTGGAGGCTGAGAGGAAGAGACAGAGACTGAGGATCAGGGCCACAGCACCGGCAGGCGTGAGTCTGGGCTGCACAGTCCCCTCCCAGCTCAACCCTCTTCACTCCTGTGAGGGAAAGCTAGGCTCTGTGGGCAAGCAGTGCAGACTTGAGACATGACTTCTGGGCCAGTATATCCCCAGGAACAGATATCAGGGCCAAAGTACAGTATAAATGGGTCCTAAGTGTGACCTGCAGGGATGTGTCTCAGCTCCTAAGGTAAGACATTTGCTGTCATCTCATAAACAGGGTTGGGTTGACTCTTCCCTTTCCATCCACCCACCTTGTAGCCACTAAACCTGCCATCCCAGGAGCCTTTGCCAGTTCAGTCCTGTTTGACATTTTACTACCTAAAAGGACTATACTGGCCCCACGCAAGGGGATTGCTTCATGCATCCATAAGTACAACAGACATCTGCTCCAAATGGCCTTTCCCAAATGCCATTCTGGGGTGTAGTGCTCTTACCCTACGCGGAAGTCCTATTGTCCCCTTAGAGTGCACGTCACTGGCCACAGTCTTTGTCTCTTGTTTTCTTTTGTTTGTTTTCTAAAGGGAGTAGCTCGCAGGCCAGAGAAGAAGAGAGCCTCCTGGACTCGGGATCATTGATCTCCATTCATGTCATGGCCATTCCTTCAAGCAGTAAGAAAGTGAGTTAAACTTGAGGTGTCCACGCCTAGGCTCCCCATGGCCTCTAACTGTGGGGACAGTCTAAGAAGCTGGAGCAAACTGTAAGAACTCCATCTCAAACACGCTTCTGTCTTTCCCTCGGATCCTGGAGGTATTCCCTGCTAAGGACAGCTCAAGTGGGGCTCTTTGTACCAGTGTACGTCCCATGGGGAAGTGGTCTCCAGTATTTGAGAAGTTGAGTATTGGGAACGGCAATGTAGAGTTGCAGGGCCTTGCTGGGGAGATCTTGACCTGGAGTCTCCCATCTCCCGTACTGAGGTAGAACTTTACCAGGGAGAGATGAAAGAACACAGGGTGTGTGGAGGAGGCTTCCCACCAATACCTGCTCTCCAACACACAGAAGGCAGAAGAGAGGTGGGCTAGGACGTTTCTGTGGATTGTGGGGTGTGTGTGTGTGTGTGTGTGTGTGTGTGTGTGTGTTTGTGTGTGTGTGTGTATGAGAGAGAGAGAGCACAAACCCAAGAACTGCTAAAGAGATGTGAGCACAACTTGTCTGTTTTAGCTGGACCCACCCCTTCAGCTCTGGCTGGTTGGCTGATATCACAGACTTCTTTAATCAATGAGATTCACACACACACACACACACACACACACACACACACACACACACCCCTCAGAAGAGCAGCAGTGCTGGGCCTGAGGGAGGAGGATGGAATTCCAGCTGAACTGTGGCAATTCAGAAGACAAATATCATTTTGAGTGACACCTGCGGGTTGCTCCGCGGGTTATGACTTAGCAAAGGGGACTTTTCCGAGGCAGAAGGAGCTCGGCTTCTGCTAGAGCTAGATCACGGGTGATTGGCCAGCCTATTTTCTTTTTCTGTGGAGCCTTTGTGGGGATGGTGGTCCTTTCCCAAGAATCCACTGTTGCTCAGCCCAAAGGGCAGTGCTGACAGGAGAGATCAGGTGCACATGGGTAGACTGAGGGAAGAGGGGAACCAGAACCATGCATGCCATGCCAGGAACGAGCATGGAGACTCCTAGACCATAGGGAGGCCAGGGCTGCAGGCTGGGGACTCAACATGTCTTACTCTAAAAATACCTGACACATTTTCTCCACAGAACACAAAGAACTTATCCCCGTTTGAAGGTAGGAGCAAAGAGTGACAACCCTGAAATAGATATCTAGTTTGAACAAGAATCAAAACTGACTAAAAGTGGGCTCACCGAGCAACAATAGGAGGCACTGGGGACACCAACTGTCCACTGCTCTATAGCAAGAAAGGTTCACAGAACTCCCGGGGCCTGGGGAAGGGGCGCTGTTCAGAATTCCCAACTGCTTGTTATTGGAATTTTTCTCCCACCCATGTTCCCTAAGTTCTGCAAATTTCTGCTATTCTCCCTTCAGTCCTAGCTCAGCCATTTCCACCTCCTTGCTACCACGGGTCATTCTCACCCCTCAACACGGCTTCAGGGCAGAGAGCGGTCTCTACCTGTGGGCTTGTCATTGTTCACACTCCGTCCACGTCACCAGCCCCAAGATCCTCATAGCCGCCACTGTGGTCCATAAGACCAGCGTGGAATGGATATTCAGAGAGCACCATTGGCCTTGAATTAAAAGCTGGTGGAGCCCTTGGTCTCTCGAGGGGGGCTCATCAGGCTGCGCTTCCCTGCCAGTTACTTCAAAAGCAAACGCTGGTTGTTGGAAACTCGCTGATTTATTTATTTTAGAAAGGAGATGGATAACTTCACAGGCGTACATCAGAGCATAGCCCTATACATCCCAAAGTGGCCATGTTGGGTTCTGACCTAGTTCGAAACAACCTGAATACTCTAAAATAAACCAAAAGAGGGCTATTTTTATTTTTTCCTTTTGTGTGTGGGAGGCACCTACATGTGAGTGCACAAGCACCTTGTGTGCACTGTGTCTGTGGAAGCCTAAGCTCAGTGTAGGCTATTATCCTCAGTGCTCTGCTGCCTTAGTCTGAGGAGGGTCGCTCAGTCAAACCCAGAGCTCATCGATGTGGCTGGTCTTGCTAGCCAGCCTGCTCTGGGGATCCCCTCTGATTACAAGCCTTTCTGGCATTTATGTGGGACTCTGGGAATCAGAACCCTGGTTCTCACATTTGCTGCATGAGCACTTTCACCTCTGACCTCTCTACCTATCCTCTTACTTATTTACTTCTTCCTGAACAAAATTTGAGGATTGTGTTCAGACATTGGAAGAATAGCCCTTAGCATGTGGACCCTGCCAAATGTCCTTTCCCTGTCCCCCTGCTGGATGATACTTCCTGCTGATGAGAACACCCACCCTCTCATTCTTCATTCAAACTGACACGACATAGATCTCAAAGGCATTTTCCCAGCTCTCTGCCACGTGGCCCCTGCGGGCCTATGGTTGTGTCCCATGCTCCTGAAGTTCCACATCCCTTCACAAAATAAGTAGATGGCTCATACTTCATAACACACACACACATACACACACACACACACACACACACACACACGGGGAGGGGATGAGGGGGACTTTTAAAGGTAAATTTCTTGTGTCTTGAGCACCTGGCACAGACAGAAGTACCATTTTCCTTATTACCAATGAGAAGAAGAACTTTTTATTTCAACGCCAAGGAATCAAAACATTGGCTAGGCCCATTTTCCCCTTGTGTTCGAGTATCCAGACTGCAACAGGGACCTCTCTGCTTCAGGATACGGCCTGTGAAAAGGGGCCTTCACACAGCCTGTTGTCCCTGTGACTGGGACAATGAGCCTCATGAAGGGTGAGAAATGGACAGAGAAGCCCTTGTGTTTCTTCTGAACCTCTCTTCAACGACACAAACTCAAAGTCACCTCCCTCTTTCTTCTCCAGCTGCGACGCCACTTTCAGGCCCCTGTTTCCTTTCCTTTTTGTCTTATTTGTTTATATTTTGTGTATGAATTCTCTGCATGGACACCTGCAGGCCAGAAGAGAAGATCAGATCCTATTACACATGGCTGTGAGCCACCATGTGGGTGCTGGTATTGAACTCAGAACCTCTGGAAGAGCAGAGGTTCTTAATCCCTGAGCCATCTTTCAAACCCCCACCCAACCATGTTTTCTTATCAACTTCCCCTCCAGAATTTTGAAGAGAAAATAAGGACCTAAGTATTTCCTTTGTCCAGAGTGTGCTCTTGGGTTTCAGAAACTTCCAGAAGATCTCGGGCTTAACATGAAAAAGTAACGTGGTTGCCTCGTGTCATACATGTTGACCTTTGCTGCAGACTTCAGGTTATTCAGCTTCCTCTTGAGAATTTCAACGTCTTCCTCTAAGAGCCTGACCCTCAAATGAAGCACTGTGCCTGCCTGGCTGCTGTGTGGAGCCATAACAACAGATCTCTGCAAAACTCTTCTCAGGCTGATGACTGGACTGCCCTTGTGTTCCAGAGGCAGTGAACAAGGATCTGGCATTGTCTATGTGGGAAGGAAAAGAATGCTTGAACCATTTATGCTGGAGCATAACGAATACCTGTGGAGGGGAATCCCTGCCTCTCTCTGCCACTGCCATGTTGGTTAGGCTCAACTCGTTCCTACATCTCCAACACCACTATGTTCTCATTTACTTTCTCCTGGGTGACCACAATGGTCTGATTTCTCTTCTACATCTCCATCCCCACTGGGTTCTCACTTACCTTCTTCTGGATGACCATGGTAGTCTGATTTCTCTCCCCGTCTCTACTCTTCCTCCCCTCTATTCCCACCCTATTTCCAACCCAGCAGTCATATTAGTATTTTTCTACTGCAAATCTGAAAGTGAGAGCCTCCATTCATGGCTCTTAGGTTCCCATCCTTCTCTGAATCATGAAGAATTCTGATCAGAACTTGAAGGTCCCTGGCCCCTCCCTGCCTCTGTAGTTTACCATGTTTCTCTTTCCCCTTTTCACCCAATAGCTATGGAACCAGACTTTTCCTTTGCACAATGACGCCAAGCTATTCCCTGACTCTGGAATATTCCCCCTTTCCAGTCTCTCAGATTGCACGCATTGGCTTTTAGATCTAGGAGACTTTCCCAGCTTCAGATCTGGGCAGGTCTTTCGGCATAGCTCTTGTAGAACCTTGTACGGTTTCTGTACAATCTGTGGTAGTCCATCCGATGGGTGGTTTAGGGCATGTCTGCGTGTTCACCGACATGTCCCTGTGATACAGTACAGTACCTGGCACTAGGAAGACCCAGACACATCTTGGGAAAGGCAATGAATGTGAGCCAAGGATGGTTGTGAGGAGGGTCCTGGCTTTTTTCCCCAGTTTTTCACTTCTAAGCTGTGTGGTCTTGGTTACCGTGTCTTGATCTCAGTTTTCTCACCTAACAAGGTGAGCAATGGAGCTGGGTTGTAGCTCAGTAGGCAGAGCACTCGCCTGGCACAATGAGCCCCTGGCTGCATCCCCAGCACTGTGTAAACTAGATGTGGGATGCATGACTGCACTCCCAGAATTCCAGCAGTGAAGGCAAGATCAAACGAAGTACAAGGCTGTCCTCTATTACAGAGCAGTTCGAGGACAACCCAGGCTGTATGAGAGCCCGCCTCAAATAAGGTTAATGTTAATTGGAGGGGGAGTGGGGGGAGTGGGAGGGAAATGGGAGGAGGGGAGGAGGTGGAAATTTTTAATAAAAAGATAAATTTTTTAAAAAAAGTTACTGTTAATCACTTTTTCCCTAGGATTGCTGGAGCCAATTATCAGTGTGGCTGGCCACAGGCCAAAAGGAGTGTTGCATTATGTTGCCGTCCTGTGTCTTGTGTCGTGGTTTGGTTTGGTTGTTCAGCCTGACTCTCAAACTGCATGCTTCTTAGCCTTCAGGACCTCCATTCTGTATATCCAGGGGAACACTGGTGCCCGTGGCCGGCTTGACTCTGGCTAATGCACGTGGAGTGGGAGAGCCGGGAGCTGATGCAAGTGAAGAGTGTTGGCTGCAAAGGGAGCCGGGGTCTTTCCTACTAAACTGCACCTTTGTCTCACTTCTCCAAGGGAGCCCCTTGTCCCTGCACCAGGATAACGTGACACCTACTGTGTCCCCAGGATGAGGGACCCTAACCATTTCCCCCTTTCTCTTTCCTCTTCTCCCCGGACCCGTGAGTGACGCATTGTTTCTGTCAGGCGTCAGATCTGTGGCATCTCTGAGGAACGGTTCTCCTGAGACTCCAGTGAAGGAAGGGCCTGCAGCCAGGCTGCAGGGTGCAGAATAAGCCACAGCAAGGCCGATGCTCTGAGCTGCCTCTCAGGGTCACTGTTTGCAGATGCACGGGAGCCATGGTAGGCCAGATGCGCAGCTGCTCATTCATAGCCTACATAGCAGACTCAATCCGCCCAGTCTCTTAGGCTAATAAAGTCCAGTTGACAGTTGGGCAGCATCTCTCCTGAGGCCCAGGGTCTTCCAGGCTCATATCAACATAGGCAAAAAAAAAAAACCATGTTCTCACGGCTGTAAAGCTCAGCCATCCTTGTCCCGTGTTGAGCAGCAATTAAGAATGTGCCCCTTTTCTTTTTTAAAAAAATATTTATTTATTATATCATGTATACAATATTCTATCTGTGTGTGTGCCTGCAGGCCAGAAGAGGGCACCAGACCCCATTACAGATGGTTGTGAGCCACCATGTGGTTGCTGGGAATTGAACTCAGGACCTTTGGAAGAACAGACAATGCTCTTAACCTCTGAACCATCTCTCCAGCCCGAATGTGCCCCTTTTATTAACACCTTACAGACAATTAATTAGAGACTGCAGAAGAAGGGGAGGGGATTGATTGCTCAGCAGTGAACTCTGGCCATGAAAACGACAGAGCCTGGGGGCTGAGGCTGCAGCTTGGTTGGTAAAGTGCTGTTGAACAAGCACAAGGATCTGGGTGTGGATGCCCAGCCCCACCTGAAAGCCAGGCATGAAGACATGTGCAGGAGGCTCCGGGGGTCACTGGTCAGTCGAGTCACACAAACCGCCAGGTTCCAGGTTCACTGAGAGGCCCTGCCTTGAACAACAGGGCAGAAAAAAGTGAGGCAGTGAGCAGCAGTAGGAGAGGTTTGATCATGGTTTCTGGCCTCTACACACATATACGTGTGCACACAAGTGCCTGTGCACACACACACACACATACACACACACACAGAGAGACAGAGACAGAGACAGAGAGATACAGAGAGAATCACAGAGGTTTGAAATGGGGAGATGATTCAGTGGTCAGTGGTCAAGAGCCCTTCCTGCACAGGCCGAGGATCTGAGTTCAGTTCCCAGCACCCCATATCTGGGGACCAAAACCACACTTCAGCTCAAGGGGTCCAATTCAACTGGCCACGGAAGGAGCTCACATACATGAGCACACACTGGCACAAAGACACACATATACACATAATTTAAAAATAGTAAAAATAAAATTTTAAAAAGAAACCACAGAGGCTGTTTAAGAATTCTGCACACCATGACACAGTCTCTCTCCCTCACCCTGTCTCTCTCCCTCACCCTGTCTCTCTCCCTCACTGAGCACCCACACGCTGTCTCTCTCCCTCACTGCACACCCTCACCCTGTCTCTCTCCCTTACTGCAGGCCCTCACACTGTCCTTCAGTCTGTCTTCCCCCATCTCTCGTTCTCCTGTGCTTGTCTCCTCTGCAACAGTGATCATTTTGCTTCAGTTCATCCTCGCAAATCAGGAGAATTTCCCTTAAGGAAACAGAAATGTTCTGTAGGTTCGTCCTACATACACGTCCTGGCCACAGGAGTTAGGATGTTCTTCTAAAATCCCAGGGAGCCACACCCTGCTTTTCCAGTGCTAGAGTGTCTTCCACTCAACCCCAGCCACCTGCTTGCTCATCTCCTTGTTGCTGACAGAACCAGCCCTGTTTGTCTCTTCTCTCTCTTGGACCCACTGCTCATGTGTATGTGGCTATCTGTGGCTAGAGTAGACAGACACACGCCATAATCATTGCTGGTAGGATCCTCCTGTAGTGGCCATGTAAAGAGAGAAGCTTGGGGAGGGGCTCAGAAAAGGGGGGCATCCCAAGTGATTCTGAACCCTGATAAAAGTACTGTCGTCAATGGCCAGGGGTCATGTCCCAGTTCATCCGTGGCATTGTTTAAGAGCAAAGCCATTTGGTAGGTAAGGAAGAAGCAGAGCAGGACATGTTTTATGGGGTCCCTCAGGTCATGCCGTGTGCTGCAGGCACCAGGGACTTGACTTCAGTCAGAATCGACCCTTGTCAAAAGGAAGTTAATACTCTGTGCCCATTAGTCTACCACTAAGAACAAAGCTGACTCCACTGAAGGCTTCGGTAGCTACAGGAAGGCAGGCCAGACCCAGAGAGCTCAGGTCAGAGACAGCGCCAGCGGCACCTTAGAAAATTGTTCCAGGAATTGCGGAGGGGCGGGGGCTGCTTGGAGTAAGTGCAGAAAGTAAAGAGCGCTGGCCGAGTGATCCTAAGCCCTGATGGAGGGAGAGATGTTCCAGCACAGAATGTACGGCTCACATTCTGATCGGAGCAGAGTGAGACACAGAAGCTAAGGGGCAGGGCCATGTTCTGAAGCACTCTTACCAATTCTTACTTGAGACGAGCTGGTGTGAGGCCGTCTCCTGTGTCTTACACAGTTGCTTTATGTGCTCTCAGCCAGGGTGCGGGTGCCCTGCCAGCAAATGCCCCTGAGAACTTCGTGGAGTTCAGAGATTATTCCCACATTCACATCATGAGGCCTTGTAACCCTGGATCGGGTTCTGAAGTTCCCAGGACTGTAAGTCACCTCTCCTCAAACATCGTTGAGTCACTGTGGCTCGTGTATATAAGAACACTCGAGACCAGCTCATGTTAGACCCTCGGGGTCATGAGCAACTGTGACCAGGGGCTGATCATCTCTTTGACGTGGTGCCAGAATGATTAAGGGCTCAGACACACTCCCCAGGGGCGGAAGAGAGGGCTCGGTGGCTAAGAACACACGTTGCTCTTCAAGAACTTGAGTTTGATTGCCAGCACCCACACGGGGCACCCCACAACCACCGGTACCCCCAGTTCTGAGGGATCCAGTAGCCTCTTTGGGCCCCCAAAGAACTTACACACATGCGCACATACATTCCACACACGTCCATACTCATAATCAGAACTGAAAGAATATCAGCGTTGAACTTTGGGCAACACGGCCCTTGCGCTGTGTACCAACAGACAACTGGGCTGACCTCGGTATGAGCAGGACTTCAGCTCGTTTGCCATGCAGAAGTCCGCTCTTTGGCTGAGTCTGAGGTCAGCCTTTCCCCTTGGGGTTTGTTAGGAGTTTCCTGCTCCAGCTTCTCAAAGCTTCCCCGTATTTTTCTCCTAGCTGTCAAGTTTTGCCATGCTTGAGTTCAAGCCTAATGAACCTTCCCTTTTCTTTATAGCTTCAGGTAAGAATCTTTTATGTTTCCCAGTTAGGAAGCTCAGCTCTCTTAACTCAGCCTCCTGGCATGTGGCACCAGAACCACTCAGAGACAAGGGTCTCTATGTGGTGACATGTTTTGAGAATTTTGAAAAGCTCAGGCTAAAACACACTATTCCACTTAATCAAGTCTATAACACACTTTGGCATCTGGTAAGATACATAGTTCCTTCTTAATATTCTTAGCATCATAGTGACTGTTTTTGGACTTTTATTCTCCCACATGAATTCTAAAGTAAAGTATGAAGTTTTATATTAAGATTTGTATTGGAATTGCACAGTTTGATATTTTGAGGACAAATCTTTGCCATATTGATTCTTTTCTCAGGAGCACAGTTCATTAATATCAACCTAGCAAAACTTCAATGACACTGATATTTTCCCAGTCAAAAGGGTCACAAATCCTTTGCTTTGTGTACTTAGGCATTTGATTATTTTCAGTGAAAATTTTTTCCAGTTAGTGTAAATATTGGCTTGTAAGAGCAGCACTGGATGCAATTATGGTTCATCTCTAGAAAATGCTAGTTCTGTAGGTCTGCCTAGACTTTATAATAGACCACTATACTAAGAAGAAACTATTAGGTTTCCCTCCTCCTCCTCCTTCTCCTCCTCCTCCTCCCCCTCCCCCTCCTCCTTTTCCCTCTCCCTTTCCCTCTCCCTCTCTCCCTCTCTCATTTCTGTTTTTGTATTTTTGAAGACAGAATCTCATGTAGCTTAGGCTGACCTTAAACTTCCCATGTAGCAAAGACTGGCCTTGAACTCCTGTTCTTTTTGCCTCTGTTTCCAAATGTTGGGACTGTAGGCCCATGTCCCGCACGAGCTTCCTGTTCCTAACTTGAAAGGCAAAGCCACAGTTAGATCCATTATAGTACACTAAATGCTGTACACAAAAAGCTTTTAAATGCTTTTTGTGAGGTCAAGAATTTCCCGTTTTTCTTGCTTTAGTGTTTGTTGCCTTTTTAAACCACAAACCAGTGCTGAGTACTCCCGAGCTCCTGTTCAGTGCCCACGGCCCTCATCTATGGCCTGGGCCTTTTAACCTGCTATCTGATAAATAACACGATTGTCTTTTTCTCCCAGAGCTAAGTCTTCTATGCATTCCTGGGGTCAATCAAGCTTGGCCTTATTTTTA